ATATCATCCTTCTGAGTAAAACCTTTGGCAACAAGTCTACCCTTGTATCGTTCGATATTGCCATTTGAGTCGTGTTTGGTCTTAAAGACCCATTTACACCCAACTCTTTTACAACCTTTAGGCAATTCTACAAGGTCTCAAACTTCATTATGCTCCATTGATTTCAACTCATCTTTCATGGCATCAAACCATTTATCAGAATTGTGACTTTTCATGGCCTGTGAAAATGAAACCGGATCTTCATCAATTCCAAAGTCATGTTCTAACTCTTGTAGATAAACCACATAATCATCAGAAATAGCAGATTTTTTCTGTCTTTGAGACCTTCTTAATGCTACTTCTTCATGGGGTATATCTATTGCAGGTTCATTGGTAACAACGTCTTCATGGAGTGTTTGATCATTTATTTGTTGTTCTTGAAAGTCGTTAAATTGTTCAACAACTGTAGGAACAATTTGAGAAGAAGTTAAAGGTAAAAGAACGTTCATTCTAACTTCTTGGATTTCCACTTTACGTGGTTCCATGCTCCCACTAATGTCACCATTTTCAATGAACCTGACATTTCCAGTTTTAACAATTTTCGTACTATGGCTAGGACAATAAAATCTATACCCTTTAGATTTTTCTGGATAACCAATGAAGAAATCACTGGTTGTTCTTGAGTCCAGTTTCTTTTCATGTGGATTATAAATTCGTATTTCTGCAGAACAACCCCAAACATGGAGGTGTCTCAAACTGGGTTTCCTTCTCGTCCACAGTTCAAAAGGAGTCTTTGGAACTGCCTTACTAGGAACCCTGTTTAACAAATACATAGTGGTTTTTAAAGCATACATCCACAAAGATAAGGGGAAAGAGGAATAACTCAACATACTCCTAACCATGTCCATTAGCGTACGATTACGCCTTTCTGCAACACCATTTTGTTGCGGTGTACCTAGCATAGTGTACTGAGCGCATATGCCACGCTTTTCAAGAAATTTAGCAAATGGACCAGAACATTGTCCCGTTTCGTTATATTTTCCATAAATTCACCACCTCTATCGGATCTTACAATTTTCACCCTTTTGTCTAATTGTCTTTCAACCTCATTAATAAATACCTCTAGGGTATCTACTGATTGAGATTTTTCATGTAACAAATAGACGTATCCATAACGTGAAAAATCATCAATAAAGGTGATAAAATATTTTTCTTTATTAAATGATAGAACATCAAAAGGTCCACATATATCGGTGTGTATAATTTCAAGGAGTTGAGTGCTTCTTGTGGCGACTTTCTTAATTGTATGATTTGTATGTTTTCCTTTAATACAATCTATACAAATACCAAGATCGGTAAAATCCAAATTAGGAAGGATTTCATTCTTTACCAATCTTTGTATTCTTTCTTTGGAAATGTCCCAAACGTTTATGCCACAAATAAGCTGAACTTTCATCCACTAAACTTCGTTTAGTTTCAACATTATGATGCAAGGTTAACAGAGTTTCAGCAAAAAGATTATCAAGCTTTAATTTGTATAAACCATCAGAGAGAACACCAGAACCAATAAGATGATTATGCTTAAACAAACTGAAACAACCATTTCCAAATTTAAAAGAGTATCCAGCGACATCAAGTTTAGACAAAGAAACTAAGTTGCGAGAAACAGTAGGAACATAAAGGGTTTGAAAAAGATCTAAATGATGTCCAGTGTCTAAAAACAAGCAGTAGGTCGCAATGGCCTCAACTGGAGCTTTGACTCGATTTCCCATAAAGATGAAATTTTTATTTGGATTTATGGTTTGGGTCATAAGGAATCCTTGCATCGTATTTGAAACATGAGTGGTAGAACCAGAATCAATCCACCAAGTATTATAAGGAACTTTTGTTAGATTTGATTCGAAACATACAAAAGCAAGAGGTTTACCTTTCTTTTCGAACCATGCCTTACGTTTTAGGCAATCTTTCTGATAGTGTCCAGGCTTCTTGCAGAAATGACACTTATCGTTCTTATGTTCCTTCTTGTGGATTTGGACAGACGACACATTATCTTTCAGTGCTCTTTTCTTGCCCTTTCCATTATACTTTCCTAATTTCTTTCCAGCTCCTTGATGACCCATGAGATTAATTGAGTGAGTTCCTTATTTCTTAAGCCTTGCTTCCTCTTGAATGAGCATACTTTGCAATTCAGTTACATTCCACTTATCTTTTATAGTATTGTAGTTCATTTGGAATGGACCATACTCAGAAGGCAAGGAGTTTATGATAAACTGCACAAGGAAACTTTCACTCACTTTCATTCCCATAGATCTCAATCTTGCTGCTGTGTTTGTCATTTCAATGACATGCTCATGCATGGTACGAGAACCACCGAACTTCATAGTGGTCAACGTACCCATTAATATCCCTACAATTGACTTATCAGCAGTCAGATTGCGAGAGATCTTCCATAAATTTCATAAATTCCTTTGTTTTATCAGTCTTAGGAATTGTGGACTTAATGTTGTTTGCTATCGTCATCCGCATGAACATTAAGCTAAGTCTATTTGATTTTTCCCAAGCATTATGAAAAAACCTTTCATCATCATTGCTAGAATCAGTAATAGCAACAAATTTGTCATATAGGAGTGCTGAATCAAGATCCAGAACACCTAGGTGAAACTGAATTTATTCACTCCATTCATGAAAATTAAGCCCATTGAACTTTACAATAGACGAGGCTTGCGAATGGAGAGAAATAGGTGCTGTAAATATATAGAATAATGCTTTGAGTCATAAATTTAAACTTAAACACATAATACATATATAAATAGCAGTTAAATTAACAATAAACGTACATCGAAGTTCTCCTTTGGGTGACCCATCAATGTATAACAATAAACATAATTGATGCTCAATTTTATTTCATATAGTTGGCAATTATAAATACACCAATTAGATATGCTTACTATCTTGGGATATTCTAAACATATCTAATCAAATATATTTTAATTAACCACAGTCATGTTTACAGATTATAAAATTTACCAATCAACCTTTGGACGATTCTTAAATATTTTATAATCAATAAACCTCAATTTACTCATGACAATGTATGTATTTATGCGATCATGTCATTTCATTAGTAGCATCACTTAATCATGAGTAATTGAAAATTATATATTACAATTTGATAAGCATGAAACTTCAAGGTATGGTCACTTTGGTGACTAACAAACCATCCATGAGTTAACTAAATTTCAATGTAACAATAAGCCCGTAAACACTGTTTTAAATATCGGCCGATAATCGATATTATCGGCCGAGTTATCGGATTTGGGAGCTCTCCGATAGGATAACTTGGATTTTTAATCGGTTATCGTTTTTGGCAAGTTATCGGCGTTATCGGTACTTATCGGCCGATAAGTAAGGTTTTTTTATCGGGATTATCGGCCGATAAGTAAGGCTATGCAATCGAATGGTTTCATCGTGCGGTCAAGATGCAAGTTTTGCTTTCTACAATTGGTTAGTGATTCTAAACATGATGATTTACATTTTGGTATGTTTATATTTCATTAAGTATGGTTAAATTACATTTTTTAGTTATTATATTATATATATACACCATCTAGTATATCACTCCGATAAATACTACTTATCCCCGATATATCCCCGATTTCCGCTATCCGATAAGAATTTTGGCCGTCCGATAAATTCCCGATAACTGATATTTAAAACCTTGCCCGTAAATTAACAATTTATGAAGATTAACAATATCCATGCATAATTAGTGCATCGGTATAAACAGTCATCGGCACAACAGCGCACAGAAACATCATGTATGTAAAATAGATAAATAGGCAGCAACAATAGGCGAGCACAAAATTAAATTAGGCAGCCAATAAAAAAAATGGAGTATTAAAAACATCATTCGAAATCAAAGACCCCACGAGGCCCAAGGCCCAAGGCCCATCAAAGACTATTAATATTTGGTGTAGCCCTAGGGGTTTGAACACCAAACCTCTAGGCCAAATCCTAAAACCTTACCACTAGGCTATTTACACTAAAGTATTTAGCATAATCAAAATATGTATACATATTAAATGAACAGTTAGATCCGAATTTTACAGTTTTGAATTTTGCAGTGATTGTTCAGTCAATTTAACACGAAATTATCAAAACATTTATAGTATTCAATAATCAGCAGAAAAATTTTAATTAGAGAGATTTAAATATTTAATTAACAGTAATGGAATTATTTGACAAGAAACAAGAATCATGATGGAAAATCATAAGTTCTTTAATCAAGGCTCTGATACCACATGTAAACCTAATCTTAAGCAAATCAAACTTTATTTGATTTAATCATCAATAAAACCAAGATCTTAGAACAATATGATTTTCTCAATGAACAATTTAATTAAGTGATCATACATTGATCCATGATTCGAATTTTAACGAAAATTGACTGCAAAGGGAGCAACGTTCAAGACTTTGATTTCTCTCTCTTTACCCTCTTATTCTTTTCCGAAATTTTCTTAATGGAGAGAAAAATTTCGCATGCAAAGGTAGAGAGAGGACCAAGTCTTTAAATAGAGAATTACCCACCTTCCATCAATGTGAGTAGTTAATTTATTGACCAATAGGAATTAACTAATGAGTAGTTAATTTAACTAATGATAAAACATGACCACTAAATGAAACGTGGGTAGTTTCATAACTAAAATTAGTGGGGAAAAAAATAAAAAATGTGACCACTAAGAACATGGGCCACTAAAAATCTAACAGAAAAATCTTTATGATTAAGCACACACTTAAATAGACCTAGCACAAAAAGGTCAACTTCTTAGCAAATAACTTGAGCTTCACAAATAGTGGCTTAAGCTTCATAATATAGCGCTAGGTTAGTACCAAACGTGTTACCGCACCAAAGTGAGCTACAGTAAGCTTTTCAAAGCACTGCTACATATTGTCATGAAACACAAAATGTATTATGCCACTATAAACAAATTGACCAAAAAAGGACCTACTTTGCAACTTACTTGCTTTAGCAACTCAGCTTCTGTAGCATAAGGCGACCATTTTAAAAGAGTCAACAAATTAGAGCAGAAGTGCTTTTCATCATATCGTAGTAATCGCTTCAATGAACCCGTTAATGGGTCAATTTCATAGTCCACCTGCGGTAAATCAAAACAAGTAACATCATTCAACATTCTAAGAAATGCGACTGGTCCCATTTCCATGGGCTGCATGAGTTTGAAAATCTACTTCCATGTGGTAACCGGACATCAAACAAGGAGGGAGTGTCTATAAAACAAGAATCCTGTGACAAGGAAACGCACCATGGGTACCACAATATCGTGGGAGCCAGTTTGCCTCAGAAAGGTATAGGAAAGTAGCCCAATACTTTGAGTTATATTCCTGCAGAATAAAACAAAAAATGTATTATAAGAGAAATATATTTTTAGTAACAATTGATAAAGTTCAGTGCAAGTAACTAGAAGGTTTCAAATGACAATCATGAATGAAGATAGGGATAAACTAGGGATAGGACATAAAATCCTCGCAAGCCAAGATGCTAATGGTCATCCAGATATGAATATATCAATGCTAAGGGCCAACCAGGTACGGATATCCGGTGTTATCCGAATTATGTGCATACGCTATATGGATATAAACATATATATTAGGATGATACAGGCATCAGACATGTCATGTAGATCGCGAAACGACTAAGCATCTCCTCCTTTGGTGCAACACAGTTTGACTCACCTTAGATGGTGAATGCTCGATTGAATCTTAGCTTTCTGAAAACTGTGAATCGTAACTCAGTAACTTAATAAGCAGTGCTTTTTACACCTATAATCCACATGACACAAAAAGACGCATGTACTGGCCTTTCAAACTGTAGTTCACAAGTCCACTGAAACTGCTTTACAGAAAATATACTACCAGACAAGAATCATCCACTCGAGCAATAATCATAAATCTGTGTATAACTCTTCAAAAGTAGCAAAAATGACAGTTTTGCTAGCAATTGGAACCAAACTCAAGATTGCTAGTGCAACTTATTGGGATCACCTCTTAAAGACTAAACTTAAGTAAACAAGAATATATTTCAATAATACAGTTCTTCTTAAGTTCTCTGATACAAGACTATATGAAGAGGCCTCACAGAGAAATTCAGGATGCTGGATGATGCAACTCTATGGAGGTTTGATCATTCAAATGAACTGAGATTGTCATATATATCTAATACGCAATAAGATATAAGGTACATCTAACATGATTATAGGAAGGTGGGAGGACCTTGGGTCATAACGAGTATGAGGATAAGTCTAGAATGTAGGAAATAGATGGCCCCATGAATATACGCTAAGGATTAACACTGACCAACACTAGGGAAAACCATACAGTACTGATAGCAAGGTTTTAGAAATCGGTTATCGGAAATAAATTGGACGGTCAAAATTCATATCGGATCCCGGAGATATATCAGGGATAAGTAGTAAAATGCAGAGTGTCATATTGGATATACAATATAATGTTCTAAAATGTAATCTACGATTCAAATCACATTTAATGAAGTATAAACATACTAAAATGTAAATAACTCATGTTTAGATCACTAATCAATTGTTGAAACTTGCTTCTCAATTGTGATATTAGGGTTTTGGGTGAACGATGAAGCAGTTGGTTTTTTTCCAGGAAATCGGCCTATTTATCGGCTGAAAAATCGGCCTATTTATCGGATTTTTTGCATCGGGTAAAATGATAACCGATTTTTTTCCAAAAATCGCATCGGAAGGGGTCAAAACCCGATATATTGCCGATATTTCGATAATATCGGCCAATTTTTAAATCATTGACTGATAGTGTTGATAAGATAGTCATTGATATTTTTTAACTCTCTGTTCTGAAGGATTTTTGCTTGGCTGCTATAAACAACATTAGGTGGTGCAAAACCAAAGCAAATATTGCGTTAAGTTGCAGAACATTCTAGCTTCAGGAACCGGTGGCCAGCCAGTTTTCAAATCGTAGCAGGAGTGTGGATTACTTGAGTCTCCAAATCAAGAAAATATGGAAAGAGAAAAGAGACAGAAAGGTTCAAAAAACAACGGTATGTATAATCCTGAAGCATGCAGATAATTTTGCATCGTAATCAAGCCTGCAGCAAGTGAAAAACCAGCCAAGCCAGGACATGATAAATGAAAGGCTCATAAAACCGTCTCGGAATCTGGTACTACGAACAAATACTAGCGAGGTGCCAGAGAACAGATAACTGCAACCTGTTATCCATGCAACGGCTAAAGACAATTGCATCTGCCCCAAGTCGCATTGTGCTGGTCTTGAACCCATTTCCATCTGAATTGTGAATCAAGCAATAAAGAAATTAGCTGTATTCCAGTAAAAAAAGATTATACAAAACTTAACAGTTAAAGCTACACTTAGTCAGATATTAGACTTGTAACGTCCACAGAATATCCATACACTGTCCAATGGAGGAATCTGATAGTTTGTCAGAAAATCCAAAGCTCATGCAATGTCGTAAACGTTCTGGATCCATTCCACCTCCATCGTCTTATTTACAGTGTCAGAACATAAATATTTAATAGAATGAAGCCATTATGAGTAATTATAAAAAGAAAATATATGACACATTACCATGTTCGAAATGCCAGTAACATAGAATTACCTTGAATCAGCAATGCAGGATTTCCATCTCTCAGGTTTGTGATCTTATCTATAGCAACAAAAGAGGCCCCGTTTCCTACCTATCTCACAGAAAAAGAACAATAATAGATAGCTTGTGATGATATATAGTGATGCTTAATGTGATTTAGTTTGAAAGAATCCTCAGGTTATGCAGCTGAAAAAATAATAGTGTTGGCTTATAGAGCAGCAAGAATAAAGTTAACAATTGAATATGGTATGACGTTAATATTTCTCTTCAGCTCATGAAATCACATTATATAAATTCTCTGATGAACGGAAAGACATTACTATGTACCTCGTCAATTGCATTATCTAGTAGTTCTGCCACGGCTGCAATATGGAAAATAAAAGAAGAGTTAGTGAGATTGATGACTTTGCTTGGACATTATACGTATGTTATCTGCAAAGCACATAGATGATACCGCCAAATGCCCACTTGTGTGAGGTAGCATTTGAGTGGAGAAATTTGGGATGAACACGTAAACGATTCAGGCCATCTGCAAGGAAAGGAATGATATTACTAGGAAATAATCGCGAGAGGACAGGAAAGAGATCAAAAACCTAAAAGAAAGTGAGTCTTCAATAAGTATCTTATATCTTCACAATAAACACATAACGAGAAAAGAAATATACTCTGGGAGATGGGTCCATGAGGTAGTCCAGCTTCATAATCTCCAGCTTTCCAGAATTGCCTGCACATTGGCGAAGAACAAGGCAACGAAGCTAGATTGGGCAACCCATTATCAAATAAACCCCTTATGTCAGTTACACACGAACTAATAGGATATCCATATGGATTTTCATGTTCCTTAGAACCTTGTGTAATGGCATGGCCTTCAAATTCTGGCTGAACGTGTAAAGTAATAAAACTTGGGCTCATCTGAATTAGATTTGGGGTGAAATCAGGCCTAACTACTTCTCTTAGTTCCATTTCATCATCGTTGGACAAATCAATGAAGTTAGAAAAGCTCATCTCCATATCTGGAAAAAAATAGTCCAGGGTGATATGGCTGCGAAATGTTCAAACAGCTAATATAGCAAAATGTTGAGCATCTACATGTACACAAGAATTGCCATGTAGCAGGATTTTAAAAAGAAAACTAGTAGTCTTTTTATATCATAATAACTGTACTTTCAGTAAGGAAAAAAAGATCAATCCTAAGGATTTTTCACATGGCAAACAAAGACAACTAAAGACTACAATTATTTATTGCTAAGGAATGTGATACTTTCTTGAAACTAGCATATGCATGACTCCAGGTAGTTGTGGAAAACAGATAAGAAATCTCATAAAAACTACCATCCATTCAAACTTATAAACTCCGTATTTTCAATTTGATCATAAAAAAAATTCCGAGCTATTTTAAAAGTTACTGATGCATGTTCTATCACACATGAATTGAAGGTCATATGTATAAAATAATGTTAGAAGCAACAGAACATGCAGGTTGTTTAGTCTAATCAGGAAATTGTGGTGGAACTCGCTAAGCCTTGAATGCGCAAAGAGAATTACACACAAGCTAATAAAGAATTACCAAAAATCCGAGAGATAGTTGCCAAACTAGATTAGATGTTGTGAATACTCAATCCTAATCGGTTAACCATTAACAGTAATGGTTTTGACTTTTGAGTAAGTTATACCGGAAAAATATGATAAGATATATCTACACTTGAATTAAAAGAATACATTCAGAATTTTGATATGTAACTCTATTTAGGGCTAGTCTAATATTGTTGGAGCTTTTGCTTATAAAAGCAACTTATATTAGCTACCGAAAATAGCAGTTTGGTAATCAAATATCAAAAATTGCTTAAAGAGCAGTTAAGGTATTTGGTAGAACTGCGCTTAATGATCATTGTTAAAAGATAAAAGGTATATATGATATATAAACTAAAAAACACAGAAGCTTCTTTTGAAAGCATCCTCTAGTTGCTTCTAAAATAACCTCCTTAAAAGCAGAAGCAGTTTCAATAAGCATGCCAAAAAAATTTTATCAAACACCATTATTGGGTGTTTCTTGAAAAAATAAGTAGAAGCACCCTAAAAAAGGTAATACCAAACTGGCCCTTAAACTTTTGCTTATTTTGTGACCCAAAGATGAATGAAACTCTCAAAAGTGAAACTTTGTTTGCGGATAAGAAAAATCACAGGTGCTATATAATCACTTAAGGTGATGGATTCTAGGACAACGACATAATTTCCCCAACACAAACATTTTTCATGCATGTGAGAGGACTTCAACAAGATAGCAGCTTGCTCAAAAATATAGAAAAAATGATAATGCCAAGATATTTGAATGATAATACCAAGATACTTGAATTTTCATTAGCAAGACATGAATCCATAACCCCCTAATAACATGTTAGCGCTTCAGGCAAAGATTAAGATCATAGATTATGAGCCGCTACTGTACATCAACCAATCACAACCATAGGTTTACTCCTTGGGGTATGAGCTTAAAGTGAGTTCATCTATGTACCTCCCACCAAGCTGACAATTTTTTTGCAAAAGTAGTAGTACATTGCCAATTTGGTTTTAATGGGAAAAGAGATAGGCTGGCTGTGACAACAACGAGGTTTAAGAACAATTCCATAACCTCCCAAGTCACTCTAAACACTAATCCAATCTATCACCTCATATGATCCCCATGCCGATGGTGACGAATAAGATTGCTTTTGCAATACTAATCATTGCCTAGGTGCAAGAACTATTAAACTGCCTGGCCCTCTAGGCATTGTGTTCATGATGAACATGACTTTGCAAAACCTAAATCATGGATTACGTTTAGAATAAGAGATTTCTGTACTAATACTCAGGCCTGGTAATACTGGGGGCTCTCTGACATCTGTTGCTCTATGGCCGACCTTCATAGATGAATGAGACTGCGTAGGTTAGCTAATACATCAATCTTATAACATCTTCAAAGGCCAAGGGCTTTTGCAAAGGAATACTTCATTAGCTTTATTGTCTAGGCATTAATAATCTTTTCTCTAGTGACATTTTTCAATAAAAAGTTGGAACCAATATCTAACAATAGGTTAATTTCCCTATCAATCTTTGTTTAACTCCCTGTAAGGTTTGATTACTTCCCTTGCACCAAACCAAGCAAAAGAAAAATATGTTAACATGTTGCAATAGTGGAGATTTCAATCCAAGAGATGTCAATACAAAATAGAACAATAACAAAACTGAATATACATAGTATAGAATGAAAGGAACAACATACAACCAAATCAATATTTCAACCTACATCCACCAACAAATACAGCCAGAGGGGTTCACTAATCAAAGATGATATGACAACAAAGATTCACTCTCTAATCTTACTCACGCAAACCCATAACAAACACCCTTAATGAGACACCGAGAAGAGAGCATCCAAATCTCTCTTTCTCTTGCACTTGTTTGCACACTTGCACATTCTCTTCATCATCCTAACATCCTTTTATAGTGTAAATCCTCGTGAAACCTTCTTATTTTCACATAGGAATAAAAGAATGGGTTGTGTAGTAAATGCGCTAATAGTTGGTGTCATGATACCCTAATCTAATTTGTCACAAACTAAATGTGAAAGAGGAGAACAAATTTGATTTGCTTCTTCATTTTCAAGTCAATTGCACAATGTAATAAACACACCACCATATATATACATTTTTTTGTTGTTCATAAACGTTAGAATATATACTTAGAAAAATGTGAAAGAGGAGAACAAATTTGATTTGCTTCTTCATTTTCAAGGCAATTGCACAATGTAATAAACACACTACCATATATATACATTTTTTCGTTGTTCATAAAAGTTAGAATATATACTTAGAATCAACCCAATTAACATAATTCCTTGAAGAAAAAGAAAGCAAATAAAAAACTCTTTTCAAGATATAATGAACCAAAGAAAACCACAATCACTCATATTTAATTTGTCTTATCAAGAAAATTGACCATCCATATTCCATGACAAGATACATATGGAAAATAAAAACATCTCACAATCATATCATTATCAATGTGTGAGGAACTTCCTCATCATATTGGAAGGAGCCTTACATTTTAAAAAATTATTGGAAAAATATTTGACCTCTTATAAGAACAATAACAAAACTTTTATCCCAAAATTGGGTAAGCTTGTATACTAGAAAATTGTGGATGATTTTCAATCTAAAACATTTTTTAAACAATAAAAGCTCAAAAGAGTTACAAAGAAGAATAGAGTAAGCAAAAATAGAAGAAATGTAACATTCAAAAGCAAACTATAGAGCTAATAGAGTATGAAAAAATATATGCAAATAAATTGGAGAGCTAAGGGAATACCAACAAATAGATCCTTGCTGGTTAAGAATTGTTGAACAAACTTAGGTTTTTAAAGGTAAGAAGATGATGACTAGAAAGTAACTTGTAATTCCTTAGACCCTAAGTAAGTGAAAATGAACAAGATTTAATGGGGGAAAGAAGGAATTGGTAAAGTTGCCTAGATTTAAAAATTATATATAGAGTGGGGCCCACCAGCGAAAAAATTGACAGCTGTAAGCCGGTACTTTACAGGTGAACTTTAAAATTCGTACATTGGGGCCTACTGACCCCACCCGACCCTCAGCTTCCGAAGCACGGAAGGCATGACTGCGTAGGCGCGAAAATAGCCTCCGAAATATTAAACTCCAAAATATTGAACTTATTTTCTAATAAATTTACTGATATTCTTTTCGGTTTTTTACAAAAAAAATCAACAGTAGAATGATGATGTATAATCGGTATCTTGTTTAATTTTATTTTTCTTTTCAATAAGAAACTAGCTAATCGAATGAAAATGACAGCATCGACAAAGTCTCAGAATAAAAAAAAAACATAAAAAGAAAGTATAAGATTAAAACCTAGAGTGGAGAAATGGAGAAAAGGGGTACTTGGGCGGTGAAGAGCGACTCCGGCAAGCGAGCAATTTTTTATTTAATTTGATCGAAAATGCTGCTGCTCCCTCTTGGTGGTTTTTTTTTTATGCTACAATAGCACCGCCATGTGAGTAGCTAGGTTTTTGCTGTTTTATTTTGATGCTTTTTCTTTTTCTCTTTTTAAGCTCTTCAAATTATAGTTACTACTTTTGTAGTCATATTGATGCTCCCGGGGTCTGGTGACCTAAATCGAGCCCGGCCTGCATCAATCCGGTTTAAAAATTCCCCGTTTCCGGTTTCCAGATGGACTGGGTCCCCCACATGCGAAAAATTAAGGGTTCATTTCGAAATAATGATAGGGGCACACCCTCTACCACACTCTCAACCACACCACCTCTCTTACTACAGTACACGGGGCCCACATGAGATTTTAATTTTTAAAATCTTATGTGGGCCCCGTGCACTGTAGCCAGAGAGGTGGTGTGGTTAGGAGTGTGGTAGAGGGTGTGCCCCTAGTGCCTCTCTTCATTTCGATATGTTTGTGTTTGACTAAATACCCATATTGATATTTTAATTCCACCTCATTTGTCAAGAAGGTATTTTAATTAGGCAAATCTGCTTTAAGGCGTTTTAATTGTTTCAACTTACCAACAAGACCTTTTTTCTCGTCAGCGATCAGTTTTCCGGCGAGAGCTCGTCGCATGCGTGGCACGTGATGACTTAAACTGTTTTTTAGCTGCTGATGTGGCACAGATTTTCTGACGTGGATAAAACAGTTGGGCGAATCTGTCCTATTTTGGGTGAATTGAGATTTTTAGAGGGTTAATTCCCGTCTTTAAACACTGCAACGTCAGAAAATTCGTGCCACATCAGCAACTAAAAAATAGTTTAAGTCATCACGTGTCACGCACGTGATGAGCTCTCGCCGAAAAACTGGTCGCCGACGAGAAAAATGACTTTGTTGGTAAGTTGAATCAATTAAAATGCCTTAAAGCAGGTTTGCCTAATTAAAATACCTTCTTGGTAAATGTGGTGGAATTAAAATACCAATATTGGTATTTAGCCGTTTGTGTTTCATTTGTTGTGTTTTTTTAGAAAAACAACACGGTGTTGTGTTTTTTCCTTAAAACATTTTCAAAACATCATGTTAAGTATTTTTGGTCAACACTAGTTTGACTCATTACAACATAAGTATTAAACATATTATTAATATATTATATATTAATTATAATAAAATATATTATAAATAAAATATTATAATATTTAGTTTATATAATACAAAATATTTTATAATATATTATAACATTATATTATGTTTTAATGAGTTATATTATATTATAATTACTATTATGTTATAATTATATATTTAGTTATTTTGATATATCAATCTGTTATTGTTATATATTATAATAATATCATTTTATTATTAGTATAATATTATACTATTATTAATATAATATAATATTATACTATTATTCAAATAATATAATATTATTAATAATGTTAATTGATAATCATATTTTATTATAATTTTATACCCTCATTATCTATTTTATATGAATAAATATGCCATTAATAATTAATTTTATCTTTAATTGCAGGTTAGTGAAGAATAAAACCCAAGATCTCTTATCTCAACAAAAACCCATAAATTAAATGAAGAACACAAGCAAGAGTCAAAAAGCCCAAGCCTAGAATCAAGCCGAGTAGCCTGTAGAAGCCGGAGAAAATAAAGAAATTAAATATGAAAAAAAATGTATTCAAAATAGTTGGCCGCAAAGAAACGACAATATCTCCCAATCCAGAAGGCGGAATTTAACATATAATATATAAAAATCGCCTATCTCGACGAGACAAAGCCAACCGTGAAGTCAGAATTTTTATTGGAGTATCAATGCCAGCATCGATGCGGGCATCGATGTCTGTATCGATGCGAAGTCATCCAGATTTCATCAACGACCGAAATTACATTCTTGGGGCTCAAGTTTGATCCAAGGGCTCTCATTCACTGATGTTTACTATAAATAGGGGTTGAGAATGAGGGGTTAGAGGTATAAAAATTTTTGTAACTACTTTTGGAGAGGAGGGCTACTCTTAATTGAGAAGGCCTTCCAAATTTATAACTTTTTGTTACAATTAATAAAATAATATTTTTACCACTTTAAATTTGTCTTTTTCCCTCTTTGTTGAATGATGAGGATGGAGATAAAAAGCAATTTGAAGGTTTGTATTTCTTTTATTTTTTTTAGTAATTTCTTTATTATTGCTTATTAGTTAGATTTACATTCATGCTTGTAGTGTAGATTTATTTTCTTGTCTTTTTATTTCTTTTTGTACTTTAATTTGTAGAGTAGATTTATTTTCTTGCATTTAATTTTTGTAGTTTAGATTTTAATTCTTTGTAGTTAGATTTATTTCTTGTTCATAGTTTAGATTTTTCTTTTCTTTTTATTTTTGTAATTAGTTATTTTTCTTCTTATTTTTATTTCTTAAGATGTGAAATTAAATCTTGTAGGAATCTTAGAATTGTATGAAACTAGTCTAATTTTTTTTATATTGTATGGATTATTCTCTTGCACTTAAAATATTCATGTTTAGGATAATCAACTAGAAAACTAATCGGTAGAAGAAGAATTTGATAATCTATGTTTATCTTAAATGGTTTGATAGGTTATGCTTATGAATTCTAGGATTACTATCTTGTTGTTGTTCTTATCATGAATAGTAATTTTAACTTAGATGATAATTTGATAGGTTATATTTTCCTTAAATGGTTTGATCTATGTTTAATAAATCTAAGTTGAAATATGATAAAAAGAGAATAGTTTGTATTTTGTAATTGAGATTAGCTAGTGGATTAAATTCTAGATTTTTCATATCTTAAATTGAATTCTCCATCTTGACTTTCTTGAATTTTCTTTTCATTCTTGATTTTATTTCTTGATTTTATTCATTCTTCTTTCTTCCCTTATGATTTCATTTATTCTTTGATTCTTATTTCTTTTCTCTAAAATTCAATTTATTGTCTCTTGCATATATTCACAATAATCACTCATCACAATCACACTTATTCTTTAATCCTATTTTTGTCACGCACACAATATAAGAACCTATTCTAATAATCTCTTAAAGTCACCTTCCTCGTGGGATCGATAATTTTTTATATTATAACTTGATCAATTGTGCACTTGTAATTTTGGTACATAATTATGTCGCATCGAGTTTTTGGCGTCGTTGCCGGGGAAGGTGCTAAAATAGGATTTTATTATTTTGGTTCTTTAACTTGTGTGTTTTCTTGTGAAGGAACCGCTTGGAGCTTGAAAAGCTTGGATTGAAGATCAAGAACTTGGAGAATTACTTTCGGGTAAGTCTTCTTTCTAGTATTTTCAATTCCACCCTTTTTAGTTAGCTTCACAATTAGAGACAATTAGGATTTATAAAAAAAAGATTTTATTTTTGTTGACCATAATAAAATTCACCTTTCACTTGGACATTAACTAACAAGATAATAAATTCAAACAAGAGCTCTCTTCTTACATTTTATTATTGTTAACCATAATTTTAAAAAAAATTCTTTTTATCATCCTTTTTAGTCGCTTTTAATTTCTAGGGTTGTATTTCATATAGTTGTAGGAATTCACCAAAGTGATTGTAGCACTTGATTTGGCACATACTTAAAACATTCTTAAGGGCAAAACCCCTAATCAAGATAATGTAAGGGATTTCATCACCCTTTTCTTAGCCCACAAATCACTAATTCCTCACTTCACAAACCCAAGCCTTCTAAAACTCATTAGACGTTGGTCCCTAAGGACTCGAGCTCAATAAGGAACAAGAAATCCTTAAGTGAACCGGTTTAAGTTTTATCAGATTAGTTGGTATCTAAGGCAAGGTTTAGATGTTGCGTAAAGCGCTCCACAAGGAACGAGGTACTTAATTGATCTCTGATCACCCTCTAGTACTATCCTTACCTGGCTAACTACATGGGTAAAACTTTAATCTTTTAACTGTAGGAGTTTTTTGTTAGGAGCTGGTCTAGTTGAGTTAGGCTAAACCCTAGAATTAGAGTGATTAAAAAGTGATTGCTTTGATTTGTTTTAGTTAAGATTTTTCTTTATCCTTTTCTTCTCATAAAAAAACTAATTTTCTTTCTTTCCTTAAAAAAATATTTGTTTTGGTGTATGCAAACTTGGGTTAGAGATAAATCTCATCGTTTAATCCGTGTTGAACCAATCCAAGAAATGGCAAATCAACCCATTCTCCAGGATATGTGTTACCCTACCAGAAATGCAATTCCATCTTGCATAAGGCTTCCCGAAGAAAATAGAGCAAATTTCGAGCTTAGACCGTATTACATAAACATACTTCCCAAATTCCTTGGAAATGAAACAGAAGATGCAAATATTTTTATTTCGGAATTTAAGGAAGTGTGTATTATGATTAAAATGAGAGAATTAACTGAAGATGCGATTAAGCTTAGATTTATTTCATTTGCTCTTAAGGATAAAGCTAAAAAATGGCTGTACAACTTACCGACAAATTCTATCTCAACTTGGGATGAATTTGTAACCGTTTTTCTTAAGAATTTTTTTTTCCTATTCACAAAACGGTAAAGCTTAGGAACGACATTCAAAACTTCAAAATTATCTCGGGAGAGCCATTCTGGAAATATTTTGACTGATTCAAAGATCTTTTAATCCAATGTCCTTATCATGGTCTAGAAAAATGGCGATTGTGTCAAGTCATATATGAAGGATTAGACTATTCTTCAAAAACATTATCATGGTCTAGAAAAATGGCGATTGTGTCAAGTCATATATGAAGGATTAGACTATTCTTCAAAAACATCTTTAGAATCGATGTGTCAGGGAGATTTTTCTTCAAAAACATCTTTAGAATCGATGTGTCAGGGAGATTTTATGAGGAAAAACGCAGATGAAGCTTAGGGATTCCTAGAGAGTCTATCCGAGAAAACAATGCAGTGGGAACACTATAATGACAGGGTTTCATCAGTTCCCCAATCTAAGTCTAGTAGTCTTTCCCTGGAGTCAAACATTGTTTCTGAAATGAAGA